ATTTCAGTTGATACACCAAGGTGATTCCAGGAAAAACTGTCACATACCTTGCATATTTGCTCTTCTCCCTTTTCTTTGTTGATTGTGTAGGTATGGTAGTTTTCGTGTGTGTTACGACATTTGCAGCAACGAACAGGTTGAACTAAACGACCTGAAATTGAGAAAGAAGCGTCACGATGATGTTGCCTGCTACATGTATAGAAAAATATGCAATGAGTTATATGCAAATCAGCAGTCCGAAATGCGAAGCATATATGACAACTGTGTCTATGAAAGCTATCAAAGATAGATCAAGCCACCCTTGCAAATAAAACCAGAAGCAAGCTGTTTGGCACAATAAAATAGATCAGTAGCCTCATCAATATAAAAGCTTAGTAGGTATTGTGGAGCCAGAGTTAGAAGTAGTCCTTTCACTTTTTCATAATCCGCTAAAATAGTCCTTCCTTGAAAAATAATCAACCAATTAGAACATTCGAGATTTGTGCCGTTTCTACGAATAAAATATTGACGTTAATGATGATGCGTTGTTTTACTGAGGACATATAATAAAAAGTGGACTACAAATCCCATCATGCCTCATTGAACAAAATCTCCTTTTGTCAGCTTTTATATTATGTTCCTGGGTCCAGAAATACATCAAAACCCCAAATATTGATAAATATATCTATTAAGAAATATAAAACAGCGCACGTGTCTCTGTCCTCTGTTATAAGCACGTTGGGAGAAGCAAGATTAGAAACACGAGCGTATACCAAAGGACAGAGATACAAGCGGCCATTTTAAAGTTCTTTTATAAAAATTTTTCTGCGTTTTTCGAACAAACAAATTTTGACGGTAAGCCGTGATATAAACACGGACATCAGCCAATCAGAGGGCGCATTATATATCAAAAATTTTAAAAATACTGATATAAATCCCAGTACATGCTGACACTTGCTCTTAAAAAAAAATATGCTTCACTATATATTCATTGAATTGTGAAAGGTACTAATTATATATTTACAGATCACAAAAAGTAAATGTTGCTATTGATTAGTGATTATTAGTGATTGCAAATATTCATCCATCAGCAGACAATATTGTTGTTTCTTTAATTTTATTATGTAAAATGACATCCTGTCTTTTGTAAATTTCTCCCTTAAGACACAGGTGAGTGAGTCATATCCACCAAAAATTGACCTTACATATCTGAAACCTCATTAAGGGGAGGGAAGGGTGAGTCATTGTGAGACATTTACAAGCTATCTTATGCCTTTTTCAAAGATAATGTCACATTTTCATTCCTCTTTATTATATAATAAACTATATTATTTTATAGTTTTATGTTTTGTTTTGTGGTCCTTCAAAAGCTATACACCTCACAATGACCAACCATTCTCTCTCCTAAATAAAGCTCCATGCTWATCACGTACCTGAATGGAAGAGTCCTAGTGTCTTGACATAAAACCAAAATATRAGTGGCCATTCTTTTCTGTCAAATTTTTGTAAAAGGGGAGCTGTTACAGAAACAAACTGCATGATCCTGCAAGAAAATTCAAAGGATAAACATCAYATGGCTGCCTCATGACTATCTTGGGTATGAGTATCATTTAAGTGGGATGATATGCTTAACTACATTTGCTGGCTACTTTTCTCTCCAGGCTTCCATAAAAAAGACAACAGATGATTCTAAAGAAACAAGGAAAGCTCACTTCATGTAAATCATGCCCTTTTAATTATAAATCTAAGTTTAAGAGATTTGGATAATTACTAATATATGTAAGAGATGTTTGTTGTGATTTGCAAATCAAAAACAATCTAAATAACAATAATGCCCGACACAATGAAAAAAATTATCTTTCATATTACTCTGCTACATGAAGCTAAGTCTGATATATTGCACCTACACAACTGGCATTTGTTTCTAGTAAGAAGCATAGAGTCCTGCTTATAGCTGTTCTGGCTTGCACGTTCCCTGATATAAGAGGAGGTTGAGAGATAAAGAAAACGCTATGAATGATATGTCAAACATTAACTTTATCTTTTTTTAAATTATTAAAATCGCAATTGGAATTTTTCTTGATATTTTTTAATTGGTCAAGCCATGCTAAATAAGAGTGCATATACTAGAGTTGCAAGGTTTTTTTTCTGGGATTTTTATCTAATCATAGAATGTGTTTCTTGTTACTAAAAATAGAACTGATATAAATTAATTATTTGATAATTGAAACATATAGAACACTTTTCTCTTGAAAATGGTGCCTGGTGGCACGGCGAATCGTTGAATTCACTCGTCGTAATAAATTTTATAGTAAAATTACTAAGAACCAACAACTTATATAATTCAAATAATAATTATTTTTTCCTATAAATTTGSCTAAATTCTCTTGATATGACACAACTATGTGTCTAGCATTATAAGCTATAAGTATGATCTACAATATCACCATATTTATATGCTTATAATTAGAGTGAGTGGAAACAAAATCTGTGAGACAAAATAATACWTACTAATTGCTACTGTATAATGTGATCACAAAAAAGGCAGTAGAAGAACTTATAAAAGTTTAATTAACACTGGACCCTATTCTATTTTTAAACATTGTATAGACTGAGTCAGTTTGTGCCTGTATT